CGGACCCCTCAAATGATAGTTAGGAATAATGAGTAATTCAATTAACAAATTCGTAACTACAAAAAGAAACTAGAAATAAAAAAAAAGGGGGGGGGGATGCCAACATAGACGTGAAGAGAATACTTTACACGAGAAAGATGGGAGAACACGGTCACAAAACAAAATGAAGTAGCCAATGCCCCCCCCCCCCCCCCCAAAAAAAAAAAGAATTGAGAGATCGGGGGTACAGAATATAATACAACAGGATAGGTTTATAACGGGTTGGGGCAGCTATAGATATCTAGCTAATAATAGACAAACCGGTGTGAAGCTTTACAAACATAATTATATACATATATTTGTTGATTTGATCGATTCGGTTAAAGAGGAAATGTGTACGCACGCATGCATAGATAGGAATATCATTTATTAAACATGTTTAAACCCAGCGATCAATGGGTGGTGATAATGTATCCAATAAATATCCCTGTCAATGGATGTTATTTTAGTCAGAGACAGGTGAAACTTGCGCTGCACTTTTTTTTGTTCATTTCCTTTTGAAAACATCTAGACAGAGAGGCATATTGCATCGATGAGAGAAGGTTTGTGAGAGGGCTCTTTACAGGAAAATAGAATCCCAACATTGGTTGACTAGCACTGATACTTTCCATCGTCTGATTTATTTATTCACAATGACTCCAATCAGTTTGATTTGTTTTTACTGTTTGTTTTACGACTTTTGTTTTGCTCCCCACTTACTACCACTACAAGATGTATATCCCGTTGTAATAAATGCTTATCTTAATGTACAGTCATAATGTTTGATAATTCATGTTGCTAACTTTGTTTCTTCGATTGAGGGCGCTATTTGTTGGCAGCCACAAGCGAAATGTCGCTGGAATAAAATCAAGGTAAATTTATTGATAACAGCCGTGATTTTCACTTGCTTTATGGTGAATTGTGTTATTTGTACTTTTGTCATCATTTTGAACCGGGATTTGTGCAATATTGAAGAATGGCAGCTCGTAAAACTACGTTTGTTTTGAACGCCTTGATACTCTTCTTTGGATTATGTATGTACATTACGTGTATGTGTGAGTGTACGCCCATTCCTTGGCGTCAAAGAGTGACGTTGAATGACTTAAATGGTAACAAAGCCATTTTCTTGAACTCAAAAAGGTCGCTCGACCCTGACTTAGAAAGGTCGCTTGATATCGTCCGTGAACCTAAATTGCTCCGGATCATCAATAGAACAATGGAACCGCAACGCATAACGTACTCTATGAATCAGCTCTACACATTACGTAAGCGGTCCAGGTTACCGTTGCCTGGTGATGTGAAGCAAGTTGCTAAGGAGTGTGGTATATTCCTAGCCCGCGGATGTAGGGGCGGATCTCGCAGGATCCGCCAACTTGGTGTTCGCATTACGAGTCGAAATGACCCCTCCCCACTAACAACTGATGCAACTCGTTCGAACCTTGTAAACATACATACTTCATCCAAAAAAAAGCAAACACCACGAAAATTTGATTTCCCTCGAATGCTTATGAGCAATATGAGATCGCTATCCAACAAGGCGGATGAACTTCAAACAATCATCCATGAGAGCAATATTGACGTTTGCGCCCTCAGTGAAACATGGTTGACCCCGGAAACAGTTGATTATTTCGAAATGAATGGCTTTAGCCACCTTCACAAATGCAGAAATCATAAGAGAGGAGGTGGAGTATCCATTTACATAAATGAACAAATGTCACCCAGACCTGTACCTGACATACACGTTCCTGAAGACATCGAAGTGGTCTGGGGACAGATTCGGCCGCGTCGGCTGCCACGTGAGATATCAAGTATCTTTGTGGCGTCAGTCTACTTCCCACCAAATAGTGTCAACGAGCTAGAACTGGCCGACCATCTCATTGGCTCAGTAGACCAACTAAGGTCGAAGCACCCTTCTGCTGGCTTCGTCATAATGGGGGACTTTAACCAAATGAACACCGACGTGATCTGTACAAGCACGTCGCTCAAACAGATCGTCAAGAAACCTACCCGAAATACAGCTATATTGGACAAAATATTGACAAATATGAAAGACTTCTACAGTGATGCTGACGTCATGTCACCGCTAGGACTGAGTGACCATAATTCTGTTGAGTGGGGTCCATTGAATATATTCCCCCACAAACGGAACGTTTTCTCCAGACGAGTCATCAGACCGATGCGCGATTCTGACATAAGATCCTTCGGCCGGTGGATATCTGTTCAAACTTGGCCTGAAGTTCAAGATGCTGTGACAACATCAGACAAATGTGAGGCATTTTACACATCCTTCCAATCAGCCATTGACACACATTTTCCAACAAAGGAAGTGAAAATCCATCAGAAGGATAAGCCATGGGTTACACCATCTATTAAGGCTTCAATTAATCAGCGTCAAATCCTCTTCAACACTGGACAGAAAGGCGAATGGAGAGCCTGCTCTAATAAAATCATCCGGAGCATAGGTAAAGAGAAACGCCACTTCTACCACGATCGTGTGGCTCAGCTGAAATCGGACAATCCTACCTCGTGGCACAAGCATATTAAGCTCATGACTTCTAGATCGCAATGCTGTCCAACCATTGACGTTCCTGGTTATGATCAGTCGGACCCATCGAAGATTGCAGATACCATCAACAAGCGATTTGTAGATGTTGCTAGCAACATCCGGCCCCTCCAACTATGCGACTTGCCATCATACCTGCCGTCTCAGAGACCCCCTACTGTGCAGCCATGGGAAGTTTATCGAGAACTCCAACGGCTAAAACCCGGAAAGTCCGCTGGTCCCGATGGAGTACCTACCAGATTGATCAGGACGTTTGCGTATGAACTAGCCTATCCACTTACCACCATCTTGAATAGCTCGTTCGCGGAAGGGGAAGTTCCCAACAGATGGAAAAAAGCTATTGTTGTGCCAATCCCGAAGGAAAAGCCTGCTAGAATCGATAAACTGAGACCGATTGCACTTACAGACCACTTTGTGAAGGTAGCAGAACTTTTCATAACAAAGTGGTTGATGTCTGATATCTCATCCAAACTAGATGCCAAACAGTTTGGAAGTAGACCAGGTAGATCAACAACTCACTGTCTTGTAGATATTGTAAATTTTCTAACGAAGCAGGCCGACAAATTAGGTACCACATCCACTCTAGTCACAACTGACTTTTCTAAGGCTTTTGATAAAGTTGATCATACAGTAGTTATCTCTAAGCTTATCCATCTTGTGTCTTGTCCCTCACTTGTACCTTGGATTTCTAACTTTCTGACTGGTCGCACCCAGTGTGTTCGCTACCAAGGTGTCATGTCTACCTGGGCTCCAGTGAACGCGGGCGTCCCACAGGGGACACGCTTAGGCCCGATCTTGTTCCTAGTCCTAATCAACGACGCATTGGCATCCTCAAATTTGGAGCATTGGAAATACGTTGATGACATGACAATAGCGGAAGCGAGACCACGGGGTGCGGCTGCAGAAATCCATAATACCCTATCTGAACTCAACACATGGTGCAATAACAACGCCATGCAGCTTAATGCCAGTAAATGTCATGTAATGAGAGTAAACTTCGGAAAAACCCAACTCCCTCCAATTAATGTTAGTCTTGGGGACCAGACCCTTGATGAGGTGCAAACAATCAAAGCCCTGGGGGTACTACTACAAACAGATCTGAAATGGAACAGCCATGTCGATAACATGGTGCGTAACGCAAATAGGCGCATGTATATGCTAAGAACCCTGAAACCATTCCAATTACCATGGAAAGACTTACTATGTGTATACACAGGCTATGTCAGGCCCCTTGTTGAATATGCTGCTCCTGTGTGGCATCCTGGCTTAACAAACCAACAAAATGCCCAGATTGAAAGGATCCAGAAACGTGCACTCAAAATTGTACTGGGATCATTGTACGTGACCTACGAAAATGCACTACAAATGACCAATCTCCAAACCCTAGACAATAGAAGGCGAGAACTTTGCAAAAGATTTGCTAAATCACTAATAAATTCACCTCAGTTCAGGGACTGGTTGCCACGCCCACGCCAGAATAGATATTCTCAATCTCTGAGGAGGGTTGCTCCTTATCCTGCAATCAGATGCAGAACTGATAGATACAAAAGAAGCCCAATTCCATTCTTGGTCGACCTATTGAATGATATGTAACTATAATCATCAGACATAGCTACACTTTTCGCTTTTCACCCCTTATTATATTTGAATTTATTCCAGTTTGTTACATGATATTAACTTTAATGAATTATATCCAGTTAATTGACAAATCATTGCTGTATCAATCGTAACTGCTAAACTTATTTTCCTCTTCCATTCTCTCCCCCGTTTCTAACACTCTTTCTCCCCTCTCTCTCTCTCTCTCTCTCTCTGTCTGTCTCTCTCTCCCCTCTCTCTTTGTCTCTCTCCTATTCTCTCTCTTTCTTCTCTCCTTTTCATTCCCCCTTCTCTCCTATTGTATCCGTCACCCTGTGTGTTTCTCTATTGTAACGATTTGGAATAGCTGGCCCCGTTCACAAACCGATCAGCACAGGATACGCTTTGAACCTATTAACATTAAAGTATATCTATTTTTTGCCTTTGTAAATCTTAACTTATTTTCTGTCAAATGTAAATTTCCAATATATCACTGTATTTTACTGAGCTTTTTAATCTGTTAAAATCACGCAATTATTCACTTTTAAAATCTATTGCAACTATTGTTTAATACAAACAAACACGACCCGTTTAAAATCAATGAATATCGGAGTGGAAATATTATTGCATGTTCACATTTATATATAACTTTATATTTTATATTTTTACTATGAACTTGAACGAATTTTGAATTTATATCTTGTAATGTCTGATTTCACATGTATTTATTGTAATGTAAATTTTTTATCAATTTGTAAAAAGTCACACAATTCAGCCTTCGGGCTGCGAGATGATTTACAATAAAACAAACCATTTATTTAAATTTATTTCTTTCCCTCCCTAGCAACCATTGTGCGGTACCTGACTAAACGGTTCATTTGGGAATACGACCCAACATTAGGTAAGACTATAATCATATGACCTTATAGCCATGTTTCTTTTCTGACTTCATTTAATACCTTATGCGGATGTACATAATCGATATTTCCGTTCCGATATAGTATAAATTACACCATAGCTCTTCTCCTACATTCAATTCAATTCAAATGAGCCTTTATTTTTTTCCATTCAATTTGACAACATATTTGACATCTGTTCAAACAATACAATTTATATGTAGGAACATAAATATAATTAAAGAACTTGTATTACAAGGAAGAAGGCGCGAATCCCGATAAGCTGTATATAATAACAGGTAGACTGACGTTATGATTAGGAACCTATTATATTTACACAATTTTCTTCTTTTTCATTCTTATCCATATGTTCTGCAGAATTTATCTACCGCCACCAAACACCCGTCGATGATGAGCTCGTTTCCATGGAGATCTTAGATACTGCAGGACAGGTGAGATCAGGGTTCATTCATTCCCCCCTACTTCAAGGCCTCCCAAAGTATATTCGAGAAAGAAATCTTTTGACAAAATGTGTTAGGCCTAATTCGGGGTAATTCGTTTATCAGAAAATTGTAGGTAGTGCGACTGTAAGGCAGAGCTCCTATAGAAAATGTTAATTATTCTAAATATTTATTTTTAAAGTTACTGCCAAAGTCTGGGGACAATGTTCATGATGACATTCAATATTTCAAATTGATATTTCTAAAAGGATTAATGTAGGCTTACGTATAAGTGTAGATTTTGAGCCAGAAACTAAAACGTCAGTATTTCACATATTGCTATCCGTGTTTAAGTAGAATGAATAACGACTTTTATCAATATAATTTTTATCAGTTTTCTGGTTGTTTCTCTACAGGAGGTGGATAGCATACAGCGAGAAGGTCACGTGAGATGGGGTGACGGGTTTCTCGTAATCTACAGTATCACGGACCGGAAGAGCTTTGAAGAGGTCGTCCAGATCAAAGGCTTTCTCGACGAGATCAAGAAAGCGAGGAATGTATCCGTCGTCATCGTCGCTAACAAGTGCGATCTCGATCACATGCGTGAAGTCAGTACTGAGGAAGGCGAGAAGATGGCTCAAGAACTTGCTTGCGCGTTCTACGAATCGTCTGCATGCCGTGGTGATGAGAGTATACCCGAAGCCTTTCATGAACTATACCGGGAAGTCCGGCGACGACGAGCGATGGAAGGACACAAGTCCCGAAGGCGGAGCTCCATTCAACAAATGAAACAAGTTCTGAATAAAACACTAACGAAGATCAACAACAGACAATGATAATCATCAAGAATCGCGCCATTTGTAAAGGATATATATTTTTTGTTGATTCCTATAAATCTTTCACGAGTACAAAGCGGCGACTTACGTTGTGGTCTCCTGTCGAACTAAATGAACAGTCGAACTAAATGACAAGTCGAACTGAGAATACTTGACAGACAGTCTCCCTTGGTCTAGCATCAATCGTCTGTTCTACAAATAGTAAAATCATATAGGGTCAAAGACAATGTAAATGATGTACGAAGTTCACTGATGCCGAGGAGGACGAGAGACTCTGCAGCTTCAATCATTTGAACATCTAGAGGAACAGCACTGATCTTTATCATGCATATGAAATGCTGAACTGAAATGTTTTAAACCGAATATGGTTATTCTTAAACATGTGATGTGCAAAAATAAAATATGAGATTGACAAAAATGTACTGTTTACAAACCTGTTTAAGCTAAGCAGTAAGCAGGCAGTGTACACCAAATCTTGCAGTTGTTCGCATGTCATGTATGGATGAATTATTATCCTTAGTATGAAACTGTTGTGTTTAAGAGAAAACGGAAGTCAGAATCCATTGCGACTTTCCACCATCACAAAAATAGCGTTTTGTTGCTATCGTCTGATCGCTACCAACAGTAAAAGGGGCGCATATGTACTTCGTAACACTGAACATGTTGTACTATTATGTTTGTTTGTTTGGTTTACTGACTGCTAAGAGAACATGAGCATGATTGTATTTAAGCTACCAGGGGACCGACGGCGATTTCAAGTCATATCCGAGGGACCTTGGTACTGTGGAATAATGCCTTACCAAGGGCACTTTACTTCATCAACTTGGTTTCGAACTCGGAACCTCCTGTGTACGAGACCCCTGCTCTACCACTGAGCCATCGCACCCCCCCCCCACCCCCACTAAAAGGAAGCATTACATTTCATCAAACAAAATGTGTTTAAGGAAATGACTAGATAATAAAGAGTTATTAACGAAAACTCTGTTAATAATCATCATCAACAAAATTGGTCTTTTTTTATTGAGTTTATCCGAGAATGCTTCATAGCTAGATTCACTTAATATTCGTTTGTTCGGAGGATGAATAAATAAACCAGCAATAATTTCTATATTTGATCCGAATGTCGCAATCATACACGACATGATGGCACGCGGTTCATTATTCCCCTCTCACCCCCTCCCCCCCCCCCCCACTCCCATGGGGACACGTACGTGCTTTACAATCGAAGGATGAAAAGAGGAAGAAAAAAGCCCCAAAACGATAGAAAAGAGAGAGAAAGGAAGAGAGATGAAAAATGCAACCTAAACAAAAGAAGGTGATACGAACTCCTACCACACCCTCCCCTCACACTATGTACTTGTTCTTTCACGTTTTATCTACCTATTATTTCCAGTGCCCCCCCCCCCCAAAAAAGAGGAAAATGGGGGGGGGGGTAGGTGAATAATAATAATAATAGCTCACATTTATAATACTTAATACTTTGTTTCTAGGCGCAGTACATATCATCACCCCGGTCATCGGATTCAGGATTAACTGCACACAGTGTTTGCACATTCTCCTCTCTCTGGGGAGCATTCCGGCCAGTTGCCATTTTACAAGCGCCACTTGTTCATCCAACCACATTAACAGTGGCAAAGAGTGGCAAATGTAAATTAACGTCTTGCCAACGGACATTTAGTGCCGTGTCGGGATCGAACCACGACCTTCGAATTTCAAGTCAGGTCTTAAACCCAAGTGCCCTTGTTGTGGTTGGATCCATACGACGTCACTAGGTTGCTGGATTTTGGGAGTCATTTACTCGAATCATTTATGACAACATGCTCACTCACGTAAGATAGAGCGGATATTGATCAAGAATATTGACACTGTTTGTTTTCCTTCTGATATAGAACCTTTGTTGTGTGGAACCCTTTTAAACATGTATAAGTTAAACAATAATTAAAGTTAGACGGGGATCTTAAAAAGTAAATAATTTGACGATGCGTTTTGAGATACAGATTATGATATGTATACCATTTGTTATTTTCTTGCCCTCTTTTTGTGTGGATTAGACTGACTGACATACATGAACGGTAATGTGTACCATGGTGTCATGTACGAACATTCTTATCCTAGTAATGATATCCTATCTGTAGCGATATCCAAAATGAAGGATTGAGTATTGAATATTTGTGTTATTTCTAGGTCTATAAACAAGGTGAACATCCTTTTGTTATATTATATCCATCTACATGTTTTGTTTCGTGAAGTGTATGAAATATCGCTGGGATAATGCTAAATATATTACTCACTACGGATGTAGTATCGAAAATAATACCGCTAGTGATATTCGTTTGTCTCGCAATGTATGGTTCCTTGTTGACCACACATTGACAAACACATTGACAAACGAATATCAATAACGATATTATTTTCGATATCGCTAGGATCTTTCAAATTTTAATGTAGATTCGCTTGCACGTGTATCATGATCAGGATGGTGCAGTTAGTTTCAGTAAGATAATTATGAAATCATTTGCAGTTAATTCCGTCTTCCATTCATAACATTTACTCCCCGCAATATTCCTCCACGATTCATTGCACTTCGGTCATTAATGCATCAGATTGAAGTCCGAGGCCATTTTCTATAAAACAATCTGAGGTAAAGCCGTTGTGAACGTTTTCATGTTGCATCTGTCTTGGAGCCAGAAGGGCATTATCCCTGTGTAAAATGATTCAAGTTAATGCCCTTTTGGCACTAAATATATGATATAAACCTGTTGTGGATTTCAAGTGGCAAGCTTATATTGGCAGCTTGTTCACATTTAAAAGACGGACTGGGTCACAATGTATTTTCATTGTCATTTTGATCCTTTGCATTGGTATAGTGTATATGTAATATTTTTGAATACATGATTTAGATATATATATGCATATATGCCGGAGCATGTAGTACTTTAATCCTGTTCATCGCTGTTAAAATTAATGTAGTCTGCATTAACTCGGTATATTACTCTAAAAACTAAATAAACTAAACATGACAAAAGCACTGTTTGCCCGATAGCAACAAAAAATTAAAAAGATTGTCACCAAGTATATAACAGGGATAATATTATTATGAAATCATTGACTGCTCTCTCTCTCTCTCTCTCTCTCTCTCTCTCTCTCTCCCTCTCCCTTTCTCCAACCTCTGCACTGTTTAAGAAAATGTTTTTTGAATTGTTCTTTGTTCCACGTGTTTCATTTAACCTGCCCAAGTAAAATGATACTGAAAGTCATTCAATTTGCAAATATTATTTTCTCATGAAATAAAAAATTGTAAATACTTTTGTGTGTATTGACAAAGAGCTATGTTTTGAAAGTGATGATTTTTTTAATAAAATGGATAAGAAGTTTAATAAATGATTTGTCTTTACTTGATACAATAGTCTCAAAGTTTGCTATGTTTTATATAGTACAGATTATATCCAGCATCAACAATGTTTTGGTTTTTGATTGGTTGAGAGCTCTTCACGTGTTGAAATTGTACCTCAATTAAAAGTAATATTTACAGCAAGTAACAATACTGTAAAGTGTTTTTTAAAAAATTAATCTTTTTTGATAATTTTTTTTTTATTTTAACAAATTTTATTTGAATTCATAATGTGTAAAAATGTTTAAAAATGTTTAAAAATTGCAATAGATTTTTTTTCAACACAAATATTTTTTTGTTTTTTGAAAAATACATTTTTGATGCAGGATATAAAACAATTATACATGTACATATTGCGTATACCCTGCCTTCTTTTCGACCTACTGGTTAAAACTATGGGCCTATATGTGACTCAGTAGTCACCTCTTGCCCATAGTTTCATCCAGAACCTCGCAAGACATTGTATATTTGTATAATATAGTAATAAAAAGTTAGTATCTAATGTACAAAATAAAATAAGGAATGCATATACCAATACCGGAAACAATACATGTATTACAAATTCCACATTTCATGTGATATTTATTACATTCAGCACATAAATCATCGTACAAAACAAGCAATATAAAGTGGAAGGCACAGTTTCAAATATTTGAGTTCAAGTTCAGTAAACATATTTCTCAAATATCGAACTTGGGCATATGATTGAATTGTGCATGGAATAAGAATTGGATACATAATACATATTCGACACCCTGTATTTAAAGATAAACTTGAGTTCTGGTTAAAAAAAAGAAAATGATTTCTCACAGAATCAAACGAAACCTACACTGAATGTTCAAAAATGTTGGTAGAAAATGTATACTGGCTGAGTAATGAGCATAGAAAGATAAGGAAATGAAGGTTAGTAGCCCGACACCATTTGTGTAGTCCCATATACCTCTTTCTGTGTACAGTGCTTGTTACTTTACCAAGACTGTGTCAAATTTATTATGATTTTGATGACTCCAGAACCTTGCAGTACACACCAATACTTACATGCTACATGATCAACTTTTTCTGATCCATTCCACACCTTTTCTTTCACAATGCAATTGCATGACCCAAACTTAACTTTATCTTTAAGATGATGGTAATTCAGAGTCCAAAGTATTACAAGATGTCATCTTCAAAGCAACCCTTTCACTTAAATTCATCAGTTCTGTTTTTGTTGAAGCGGGGTCTTGGATTTTAACCTCCAAACCAAATCCAGGGCCCATTTCACAAAACTTGTCATCAGTGACAAATGACAGATTTTGTTATAAGTTAGTGAAATCCTTGCTTTGATCTGATTGGTTATCAGCAGGTTTGTCACTGATTTTTGTCATTTGACATTGAAAAAAGGCTTTGTGAAACAAGTCCCTGATCAATAGAGTGACCAACTTTTTGATATTCAGTGTAATGTCATTTTTCAGTTGTTCTTCAGTCGATCTGGTGTCGATCTTGTAGGTTTAACTGGAGTATTATTTGAGCATCCCCTGGTAGGAAAAACCTTAACCTGAAATATTGCTATCAGAAATACCTGGGTCCTGTTTCATAAGACTTTTTATCTATAACAGATGCTAAATTTCTCTGACAAATTTGCCCTCAGCCAATCACATGCCATGATTTCAGTAGCTTATAACAGTAGCTTGTAACTTGTTATTGATATCTAGTTTTATGAAACGGGGTCAATTAGTGAGTGGAATGAATGGGGATATTAAACAACATCTAGCTGCACAGCATAGAGTCATGTAGAAATACCTAAACCATCTCAGTGACAAACATCAAATATTAGAATATTATGGTTACACTTATTAGCTTGAATATAGAAGGCCTCTTAAGTTACATAACAAGGTAGGTGAATAACTTGAAGAAAAACATAGGAAGGGCTGATTCTGATATGTCTTCAAATTCTATGCACTCCTTTCTAATTGCATTTCCTTATAAAAAAACTTATACAGTCAAGCCTCTCTATAGCAACCGCCCAAGGTAAACACAAAAAGTGGTCTTAAAGCTTATCTCCACTAGTTTGGCAAGGAGGGATTAGACCACGCAGCGAGGTGACCGACAGGTGGCTATCTCATTAACTCAGCTCTCAAATAACATAAGAAATAGAGGATCATGGGGGACCAACAGGCACCAATTGGGAAGTTTTCTATATAGAGGGAGCAAGTAGCTACAAGTAGGACAGTGGGGCTTTAATAGAAAGGTGGTCTTTGTAGACAGGTTCCTCTACATGTTTCATTAAGAAACCATTTTCAAGGGAAACACAAAATGTGGTTACTAAAGCAGGTTTGACTGTATAACACTACGGTAACCATATATTGGTGAAAGCTTGAATATGCCTGAACCTTTGGCTAACACACATTGGTAGATCTTGACGTGGGTGTGGCCAAAAGTGGAATGTGACATTTGTAGGCAAAAACAAGAGCCAATTTCAACATTTATAACTCACAAACAAATTAATCATCTGCCAATTTGAAAATAATTATTTCTCGCACAAGTCGTCAACTTACAGAGGTAGTGAACCAATTGGTCCATATGCGCTCTCTTTCAGAGTCTGCACACTCATAACATTGCAAAGTTCAGTGACTATACAGTTCATATATTCTGTATGAGAAATGACATTTTGATGAGATGTATTTCATGCATTCATCAATGATCACAGGCTCATTTTCTAGTACTTTTGTCAAAATATCCAAGGCAGTAACAAGTTTTGTTGTCATTCAAAATAACATTTCATATCAATGCATGCAGTAATTATCACTTTCCCCTTCTCTTGATTTTGGTTTTGGGAAAATAAAACATTCAAATAATTATTGGGATCTGTGTATACATTTTCTCTTAACCACTACTTTGTGCTCAGTAATAAATGCTTAAATACAATGTAACTTCAAATTACAGGGGGATTATTTTAAATATTGTAAATGAATTGGGGAGGGAGGGGGCAAAGAAAGCGTAAACCAATCCATAATTGTCATAAAAACCTGTGCACAAAATTAAAATGCACTAATCTTCTGCAAAGAGACAGAAAGACATTATCACATTTCAAGTCTGTATGCCCTCTCAGCTCTCATAAATAACAGAAATCTTCTAAAGGGCAATGTAAATACCCTATTACCTATAGAAACCCTGTTCAAATGGCGTAACACATCATTGTAATAATTCAAGAGATTTTAAAAGTGATGGGCAACAGTACAAGGGTATTGAAAGGTTGGTTTCTTTGTGATTGTGTCAACTGCAGTTATTAACGAAGCTGTTTGCTCCCTCCCCCTGCCCCTCCCAGACCTTGTGACTCCTCTATACAGATTACAAATACACTGAGATCGCTTTAATATTAAAGATGACTGCCTCATCTGTCCGTCTCTCCTTCTAGTAGTTGATGATATGCTTTCATCCCGGCTGCCTGGTATTGTTTAGCAACCTCACCTGGATTAGAAGCCTAGAAAACAATGGAAAAGAAATTCTTTATTTCATCAATCTTTTGAGGTAAATGAAAACAATCATAAGTAACTAGATGACTACCATAGTCGAAAATGATGCCTCCGTCATAGAGCGATTTTACAAACCAAAACAGAAGCGATTTTTACAATTCGTTGCGGAGGCATAAAAATACAATAAAACATTGAAGATCATTTCCCCTCTAAACAAACTTATAGATTGGGAAATTTAATTTGTTGGTATTATTACTAAACAGAAAATTTAGTTAACTTATAACTTTTCTTCAAGCTTTCAAGGTTTCTTTCCCATCATTTTCAGCCAAATTAAAAACACAATTCAAATGTTTTCAGGATCTTTTTAACATTTAAAATAGAGCCTTTAAATAATCTACCACTTCTATTTTTGCTAAGATTTCATTCCATTTGAATAATACATTGTTCACTAATCTCCACAACTAGGCGTTGTGGCGTGCGCCTGTAATCCAGCTAACAATGGAAGTTACAAACTGATTCAGCCGAGGACGCAGGTTCAAAACTGAGTCACGTCTTTCGGATGGTGACGTTTAAAGGTCGGTCCCTAGACGTACATTGTAAATAATCATATCTGATTGATACGCGTCTGTAAAAAAACCAACACTCACACTCTCTCTCTCCATGTCTCTAGGAGTGATAATTGACTAACCTGGTATATTCCTCGGCCGACAATGATGATGTCACTTTTCCTGTTTGTGATGACCTCTGCAGGGGTCAGATACCGTTGACCTAGGTCGTCCTTCCCTTCAACAAGTTTCACACCTAAAACAGAGTTAATACAAAAGAGATTAGCTTGGAAAATCATTAGCTTCACACCTATTAATTAACCCAATACTTATAGGAACCAGGGGGGCGTTTCACAAAACTTGTCATCAGTGAAAAATGACAGTTTGTGTTATAAGCCACTAAAATCCTTGCTTCTGATTGGTTATCAGCAGATTTGTCACTGACTTTTGTTATATGTCATTGAAAAAAAGCTTTGTGAAACGGGTCCCAGATGGTCCCTATATTAAGCCTATGGGAATAACAGAATTTAGTCATCAGTAAAAACAAAAGATATCATAATACTCTTAAATTTCACCTAAAGTCAAATTTAAAAAATCATGTTGAAGATCTGATAGAACATTATAGAGACTAAAATTGATTCACACAGATTAATTATCAAAGACCATGATCCAGTTGTTATACACTTAACAGAAGTAGCCAGTAGCCAAATAATTAAAGTGTAAATAATAGTCAATACTCAGTGTCATGTGAATAATCACACCCTCTCCTATCAATGCTCAAAAATAATCCTATTATCATTGATTATAAACAATTATTTCTTTTGGCAAGATTACGTTGCATGTGTACCTGGGGTCATATGGATGAACTTGGGGTCAGGGGACAAAGATGAGGTAGAGATGAAACCAATCACAAAGTCACCGTTCTCTTCAGCCATCTTTACAGTTGCTATGGTGATACAGAAGGAAAAGTTAATAATAAGTTAAGATATCTTCAAAAGTAGCAGTATTGAAATACTCTATAAAATTAATCCCTGAATTTACAACTAATTGTAAAAAGTGGTATAATAGCAAATTTTAATATCACAGTTGATTGATAATTGTCCATTTCACTTCTCTACATCACATGTACTGATAATGCATATCATGAAATTCCAAATGGGGGTATGATTCACAAAGCTTATTTTTGTAATGCTATTGTGTAATAACTTTTTAATGCTATTGTGTAATAATCTAATTCCATAGACTTCACAATAAAAGATGAATAAACTCAAGGCGAGCTATACAGTGTAGATACAAGAAAAAAATAAAAGTAACCTTGTATTTGGCCCAGTTCAGGAACCTACACACAGAGTGGATACACTTCCCCCCCCCCCCCTTAAACAAGGCATTGAATCGTTTTCAGTTTGTGCCATTTTAAAGACTTTCAACCTTACCTTGAGTATAATCTCCCATTGCTAGGTTACCACTAGAGCTCATCTGACCAATGAGTAGGCAGGCCCTGTTCTTAGCCCCTCCCACAGCCTTGAGACCGCTGATGGTGCCTGGTCCTGCTACTGAGTGTGCGTTGGTGATGTGAGACCACTCTGAGATCCTATACACACCTGAGGAGTACTGATGCTGCACTGTGTTACCAATGTCAGCAAACTTCCTGAGGTGCACAAACGGAATTAAAGTGACATTTTAGAAGGTTGATGAAAAAAATGTGTACTTTTCGTATGAAATGTTACTTATTATTACCCGTATCAGACATCTGAGCTGGTCATTTACAAAACCGTATTGCCCTAGTTTTCACTAGCAGTGGGAACGGAGGGGTATATTCTTTGTATTTTCCTTGGTCTCCCTGCGCGTATTGACTTTGCGTGGAGAGACGAGTGAAAATATACCTTGGTATTTTCCACGGTCTCGCATTTTCATTGCGCATCTATTAATATTATGCGTACGAGAACCTGCGCACTTTGCGCGCACTCTATTGTGACGTAATAATCACACCAAATACACACTGTTTGTAGTGTATCGAAAATTTTGTCAAGCACTGGATGCACAGTGTTGGTTTGACAAAGTTTGTTCAGTTTTTGAGAATGTCATGGTGGATGTCTGTATTTGCTCTAGATGTCTGATTTGGATAACAATAAAAATATTGACTGGCTTTACTTTCGGGGAATATCAGAAATATTGACCGCGCTAAGACCATATTGCCCTCGTCTTTCGACTCGGGGCAATATGATCTGAGCTTGGTCAATATTTCTGATATACCCCTCAAGGCCAGTCAATATTATATAATTATATTCCTTCTACTGTAGTTTTTGTATGAAATGTTACTTATTATATTCCTTCTACTGTACTTACCCTCTAACATGCACACAATTCTGAAAAAATTCTCAAACCACAAAGATATTTATGGTTTTCTCTGAAGGCGTCTAACAGTAAATTCTCCCGAACAGTTTTTGAATTTTCCCAAACATTTTTTGATAAATATATAGGACGTAAAACATGCTGTTCAAAATCTTTCAGTTTATTTACGATCATTTGAAAGACAAGTGACTGCTTTAACACAGCCAGTGGAAATATGATCGTAATATTTCCAACAAAGCAATCCATTTTGGAATCATCTCATAGTCGGGAAAATCAAGAAATTAAACTGTTTGTTTCATCGGCTTATTGAAAATTCTTTATATAATACACTAGATGGAACTTCGACTGCGCGCAGTCGAAATGATGACTCCGTCATAGAGCAATTTACAATCCAAAACAGAAGAAATTTTTCAAATTCAAGTTCAATTGTAATCCATTAACAGGTTCTCAGAATATCGTGGTTACAAGCAATTTCTCATATACATATATGACCCTTTGATCTTTGACCTCATGACCCTAACATCTACTCAGTTCATTGGCTCTGCAAGATGTCCCGAGTTAAATAGTAATCAATCTGTCAGTTCTAATGAGAATGCGTTCACAAGCTATTTTTGCATACATAATGAGCCCATGACCTTTGACCTTTGACCTCATGACCAAAGAATCTAATCAGTTCATCGGCTCTGCAAGATACATACATGACCAAAGTTTGGCAGGAATCCATCAATCGGTTCTTCAGATAACGCGATCACAAGCTGTTTTTGCATACATAATGAGCCCTGTGACTTTTGACCTTTGACCTCGTGACCCCAAAATCTAATCAGTTCATCGGATCTGCAAGATACATACATGACCAAAGTTTGGCAGGAATCCATCAAACGGTTCTTCAGATAACGCGATCACGATAACGGGACGGACGGACGGACGGACGGACAAGCCGAAAACATAATGCCTCCGGCTACTTCGTAACGGAGGCATAAAAACAAAGCTTGTTCATGAGGATCATAGAGCTTCACTAGCTCAGTATTTAATGATACAGCTATAAAAATGAATATAGCAGGTCCCAGTATGTAGCCCTGGGGTACACACCTGTCTTCGAATATGAGGAAGTTATGTTTCTGAGCCAGGTCCTGTAGAGACTGAATGAAGGTAGCACTGAAGTCTTCAAGGATGTCTACATGGGTCTTTAGAACACAGATGTATGGACCAACTTGGTCTGCCAACTGAAAAAACAATGCATACAAACGCACTGCTAGAAACCATTCATGAATGAGGCTTTAAAAAAAAGATGTTGTATTGTCATTTGCAACCAACCCCAAAATCTTGAAATTAACGGTCAGCTTTTTAAAAAAGTTTTTTTTAAACTGTTTTTTAGAAAGAAAATTTTGAATGAATAAAAAAAGCATTCAAAACTAAAAAATATCAGCCCGAAGAGGGGAAAAAAAAGCAAAAAAAAAAAAAAGAAAAGATTTCTGACCAACCGACCCATGTTTTGGCACGTAAAGGGCAATACAACATCTTTTTGTTTTAGGCCTTATGAGAATGGCAGCATCATTATGTAATGAGCAACTGTTTTTGCACACATCACTTTTGCTTCTTAAAAATTGTGAAAGAACTGATCTTGAAATCATTGAACTTTATTGACTGATAGAAAACTTGTTTATAAATTGCACAAATTATTATCAATTGCCAAGTTCTAACAAACAGGGCTGATCTACTGAACTGAAACATAGACGAATGACAGGAACAAGTTTGTTGATTTATAAAAAGCTTAGTGAATAAGGAAAGAAATGTAGGCCTATGGCTATCTGATAAACTTTGGATGAAACATGAAAAGAGGGAGGTTACCTCTAAAACTTGACTCGACGTTGTCACGTCAACAGAGAATGCTAGATTGGTTTGCTTGTCCTCCATGATGCTAAATAGTTGCTTAGCAACAGGATGCTCACAGAGCTCCGTCCTGGCTTTGTAACCAAGGTACTCCTAGAGGAAAGAAACAGTCAAGGACCTTTTTTGTATAAAAAATAAGAATTCACGAGACAAGTATTCAATGATCATAAAGCCCTCGATAGCTGGCCTCAATAAAAGACTGTCCCATGAAATGTTGCCACTACCATTATTGAACTCATGTCATATTTTAAGAAGAAATGGAGACAACACTTTGTCAAAAAACATTATTGCAATATCAAACAGAAAACCATCAATGGCAGTGAAAACAATGAAAACAAATAAGTATTGGCCATCTAACTGAGGAGGCATGATGGCTCATTGGTAGAGCAGCGGTCACATAACAGGGAGGTCCTGGGTTTGAAACCAAGTCAATGCACTCGGGCCATGTGGTAAGGTATTAATCCTCATTACTAAGTCCCTCAGAGCGGACTTAAAGCCATTGCTCCCCTCGCTGTTTACTAACAAGCCTACACACTTTCTTAGCAGTCAGGTAAAACTAATTTTTGTCTTACGCAATTGGAGTGACGCACAAAAATAAATAAATACCTATTACAAAATGTACCAGCTGTGTATGTCAATCTACGCGACACTGTGACAGGAAAATCAAGCCATGGAATGACAACACTTCAATGCAATGTACCCTCTTTGATTTCTTAGTGGTTGGTTCTTGAGGCAGATTGTCGATCATATTCTTCTACTCCTCCCAGCACCCCCCCCCCCCTTCAAAAGAGAAAATGATGGAGACAGTAACTATAGTAACGCAGAGTTGAGCTTACCCTTCTTGGTTTCTTAGCGGCTGGTTGTTGAGGCAGACTGGTGATCATATTCTGCTGAATGAATAGCTTCACACTCTGTACGACCTCCGCACTGATCTTACTATGAGACTGCAACACTTCAAGAACACGAGGAAGGTCAAAGGCACTGAAGGTCAAAGGTCATCAAGAAGATATCATTATTATTAGAATGTAACAACATTATTTCATTCACATGAATTCTACATCAATACTTGGTATCTTTTTATAAAATGAGAGAACTTATGCATGGTTTTTAATGGCAAGATATTTGTTCTACATTACATCTTATTTTAAATTATTTAAGTTCCTTTATAATATCATCGGAAATGTCCTCATCATTTTGTGGATATTAATAAGAAGAGCTCTATCTTAATAATGGGAGCTCTAAGGGGTGATTCAGTGGTTGTGTACTTGGTCATTTTGGTGTTATTCAGAGGCCATTTTGTTTTCAGGTTTTCACAGCTGCATATATAAAACACACAATAACAAGAAATTCATGGAAATTGAGAGCAATCACTGAGGTCCAATGTACTTCATGTGATGTTTGGTTTACAAATGTATAGAGTACCAGTATACAACTTTGTGACACATTTAACACATTGACTGCTGTATTCTCTCATTTCTATTGGCTTCTTACAGGAACCAAAAGAGGTGTTGTGGTTAAAAAAAATTCTGTCATCTCTAGTTTTAAAATTGTCTAAAGACAAAATAAATATTGATCTCTTATTGAAGTGCTTTGCAACCCATATTTATAACGGCAGTTCAATTAATTCAGGATGAGCTAGAATATGATTAGTACAAATTAAATACTTAAGTTTTAAGGTGGATTAATTTTAGAGGTTTGCAAAACTGCAATTTCTTACATATTTCATTATTTTTTTCAGAGCATTTTGAGGACTCAAAATATCCTGTACCTGTGTATAAGCCGCACCCCTGACTTTTGATTTTTGCCAACGGAAAAAAAGTGTGCCTTATACACGGAGATATATGGTAATTTACCTGTAGAGGTTAATGCCTGAATCTCTGAGCCTAGCTGCACCTCCCTGTGCTCTGTCTAGAAGCACGATGGCGTCTGTCACCTTCAATCCAACCTCAGCTAGGGACTGAAAAGAAACAAGTGTGATGAAAGAAATTGACCAACTCTCACAGCAATAGTATAATAATACAGTATTGCTTGGAATAAAGTTGACAGTCTCACACTGTGTCACGCATGAATGCATGCATTATCCCATAGACCTTGGTGTGACTTGGTGGTAATGTGTCTACTTTATTTCAAGCAATATTGTAGGTCACAGTGTTTGAAAGAAGATTCAAGATTCAGGCATACAGTGCAAACGCGTTATAATGAGGTCCTTGGGACCAAGGAAATTACCTCGTCATATATCCCAAATCTCGTTATATCAGGGTAAACAAACAAAAGAATATAAAGAGCTGGGACCAGCAAAATTACCTTGTTATAACAGATACCTCATTATATCAGATCATTTTATACTGAGATTGCACTGTATATTGATTTTAGCCACGATATATGTACACACTTGCCCTAACTGACTTTTACATCTTTCTGATTTTCAGTTCTTCAATGGTTCAACAAAGCTTGTCATGGGAAGTCCTCTTTCATCAATTCATCAGTGCACACATTGATTAAATGTACAAACCAAAACAGTAATGACTCTTTTCAATGGGAACACTTTGTACTGTTCACTTGTATCAGCACAATCAATCATTAAAATCAATGCTAATTTTTAAGACGTAAATTCAAATGATTGATTGTGCTGATACAAGTGAACAGTACAAAGTGTTCTCTTTTAAAAGAGTTATTACTCTTTGGGTTTGTATCGATGGCGCTGTAATAATGGTGATGGTGACAGCCAAGTATTACTCAGATTAAAATGATTTGTTATTCAGTTGTGTTGTCTGGTACGGGAGGTGTAGAAAGAAAGACTTTAGCAAGCTCCAGAGAATCACCAAACAAGCAGGGAAGATCACGAGTGAAATTCAAAATCTAATTGAAGCATGCCAATCCAAAATAATTCTAGAGGTACAACAAATTATCTAAAATGAAAATCATCCACTCTTTCCATACTATGTTTTTATGCGTTCTAGTAAACGACTTTGTTCAATGAACTGTTGCACTCAATGTTTTCTAAATTCCTTCGTTCCTTTCTCTATCCGCAAATTATACAATCAAAATGCTACCTGAATTTTATGTTCTTCTTTATTTCTGTAATGTTATTTTTTGCAACCTTTCCAGGCCATCTTGTTCACTCGAACACTTAAAATAATTCACTTATTTGTTTATAATAACATAAAAAACTTCTGTATAGCAATATTCTAAAGGATTGCTATGTCAAAGTATATGATATATTATGTATGTAAATTTATTTTTTATTCTTTGTACATAAATGCAAGCAAAACAAATTTGCAATAATGAACAATAAATTGAAATTGAAATTGAATTACCTGTGATGTTTCCATGACGCTTGACCCACTAGTAACTACATCCTCCACGATCAGGCAAACATCACCTTGCTCAAAGACACCCTCTATCATCTTCTTAGTGCCATACGACTTGGCTTCCTTTCTTCTTATCACCATAGGCACCTTCTGCTTCACAGCCATCAACTGAACAAACAAAACAAATGGAATCCAGGTGACACAAAGACGTAACTCCATTTAGGCCATTTTGAGAAAAAGTGTTTAATATGTGTCACTGAGCACTTGGGCCTTAAAGGGATTGTTTAAGAATGTTTAATCTGAGATACATGGTCCTACATGTTACCAGTGTCAGTGATATGGTGTAATATTGAAGCCCTAAAAAAATCGCGCTTCAAAATGATCAAGAAGTGCCTCAAGAAAGTAAAAATCTTTGAGTGACCGGTTTTACCATACTCGTTTTTCCCAATAGACTGTAGTTTTATGAAAACCGTTCAACGGTTTTCAAAATTTGTAATTCCAATCATTAATATCTTGATAATCAGACAGGCGATTGGCTTGTAAAAGTCATAGGGTTCCTGACTGACCTAAAGATTTATAATTATCATTGCAGCATGAGCTAAATCAAGGATTATTTCTAGAGGATCTAAGGCAAAGTTACCGGATCCCTTTAAGGAGTTAAGTTTATGTTTCACTAGCCATTGACTTCAATGGGGTTTTGGTGGAGTTTAAGTCTTTGAGTTTCCTGAAAATCTCACATTTTTCTGAACATTTTGATGTCAAATACTCATTTTGGCAAATTATGGAGTTACGTCTTTGTGTTCACTGAACCCTCAACATGGTGTCACTTAGCAAAGTTCAGGGGCATAAAACACCACATGAGGCTTACCTGTTGGGAATAGATCTAATATTGATTGTAATTAGACATATATCTGACTATGTACTTTGCATTCTTAAACCCAAATTGAGAAGTCTTAAAATATAAAGTATAATCATATGAACTCAAATTTAATCAAAAATTACATGCTGCAGGTGCGGATAAATTCTTCTTTAGTTGTTTGTTTGTTTGTTTTGCTAATGAAAAAAGGTACCTGGTATCAAACAATAAACTATATGCACATGACAGCATGGCATCAATAAAAGAAGTTAAAGAACTGTATTTTATTCTTTCTCTTCTTTGAAAAACCATGAAAAAACACAATTTACTTCATTTGTTGAGAGTCTGAGGGTGTTATCTCTAATATAGCCCCTCTAAAGTGCGTACTGGTACAACAAAAAACTGATATTATGTATTATTTTATCAATATTTGTTTTCAAACACATTTTTGGGGGTGAAATCTTTGCAGAAGTGTGTCTTAAAGGGATCCGGTAACTTTGTCTCAGATTCTGAAACAAAATTCTGGATTTAGCTCATGATGCAATGATAATTATAAACCTTTGGGTCAGTCAGGAACCCCATGACTTTTACAAGCCGATCGCCTGTCTGATTATCAAGATATTTATGATTGGAATTACAAATTTTGAAAACCGTTCGCCTGACGGTTTTCATAACACTACAGTCAATTGGGGAAAACGAGTATGGTAAAACCGGTCACTCAAAGATTTTTACTTTTTTGAGGCACTTCTTGATCATTTTGAAGCGCAATTTTTTTAGGGCTTCAATACTTCACCATATCACAGACAATGATAACACGTTGGGCCGTGTATCTCAGATTTAACATTGTTAAACGATCCCTTTAAATGCCATCCTCTTTCTCATTATGAACCATTTTTAAAGTGAAAATTTGCAATTAAATTGTTGGCGAATTTTGGGCTTCCAACACTTTAAAGCTCATCTGTACCAGTTCACTGACAGGTGGTTATCTCATCAAATCAGCTCTCAATTAACATAAGAAAAAGGGCATCATGGGGGACCAACAGGCACAGATTAGGCATTGTTTGCTATATAGAGGGCGCAAGTAGTTTTCAAGAATCTTCAGTCAATTGAAGGAGGCAGACTTAATCAGAAGAAGAAGAAGAAGAGTAGCTATAAGTAGTGCAGTAGGGCTTTAAGTATATGAGTTAACACCCTTCTTGCTCTGAGCAGATGGATTCTAATACATACCGTAGCAATGGGCAGAGCTGTGTAGGGGACTCCACAGAGAACGCTGTACTTCACTCCACTCTTTCTTGCCGTCTCAAACAAAGTTTCAGCAACTGCATCCTGAGAATGAAATCAACAATGATAGTAAAATTAAGTGATTGGAGATAATTATAATATTCCGTTTTAACATACCTTGAATAAATACCTTGAATACTAAAGCTTCTGGAAGAAAGCCGTCTCCAGCTGCCAAGCTTCCAGGTCTAACTTCAAGGGGGGGGGGATGTCCCAGCTTCCGGGTCTTGCACCATAGTCATTTTACATCTGTATCTTGCTTGCTGGGTCAATACATCGATAAGCGCTTTACAGATATATTATTACCCTGGTCATCGGATTCAGGCTTTCCCATTTTCCACTCCCTGGGGAGCATTCCAGCCAGTCGCCATTTTATAAGCGCACACTTGCTCGTCCAACCACATGAACGATCGCATCCTACCGGGAACCCATTTAAGTAACACCTGGGTGGAGAGTAGCAAGTGCAGGAAAATATCTTGCCAAAGGATATTGTGCTGTGTCAGGATTTGATAGATCGTGCGGAAAGTGAAGTTCATATTCTGATCTAATCATCATCCTCAGGACAATCTTACATTGTTGTTAGAAATAGAATGTCCCGTTTCAAAATCCAATTTTAACAAATTTGTATGTACCCTCATATAACATTCCTTCTTTAATTGTCCCCCACCCGATAAAAACAATATTTATTTCCACAAGATAAAAACACTATTTTATATATTCTTAAATCTTCACAATACAAACATACAATGAGGCGACTGAAGACTGGAACATGAAGTGTGCACACAGCTGCATTACTACTGTGCTCTTGATTCTCAACATTTCAAACACCACTGTACAAAACTCAACTGATTTCCCTCAAAATCGGTACTTTAGTGACAATTAATGACACCTAAATAGCCTATAGAGGTCTAGGCCTAGACTCTAGGTTTTTTTCAGTGTTTAATAATAACCACTACTAAACCTGGGGTCTAGACACGAAGAGATCTAGCTTACATTTAGCGCATGCGCAGATCGCTCATCCGATTTCAGCCTCATTTTCATAAGTTGGCGCCTAGCCTGGCCGACATGGGCCCTTCAGATTGGCTATCGCTGTTCTCTATTCACTCAATGCTATAGATATTTGTGCAAGGAGCAAGCTTGCGATTTTCTGTTTTTTTACGATACCAAAATTATAATATTTCAGTCAATCCCTCTAACTTATTTGTTATGATTTTTTCACTTAAGTATTTCACTTAAGTTTAAGTTTCACTTAACTATATTTCAAGTTTGAACAATTCCCATTTTCGTCATATGTGACCCGGCACCACAAAACCAACAAAAAGTCGCAAAAAATTATTTTCCTGATTTCATCTGATTATGAAAGAAGAAGTTCTCCTCATTAAAATGGTATATTACTTGTCCAAATTGAAGCTTCCTAACCCTTTCAATTTAGTGAATGAAAAGAGCTGGTGAGGGAGGTTACTGGTATTAAATTGTGAGAAAGAGAGCTTTAAAGTTTTGGGCTATTCAAGCATGCGGAGCAAGCAAACCACAGGGAAATCAATAGAAGGGTGAATCAAAAGGCCATAGCAACCACTATGAAGAGATTTTCAGATTAGGCTGAAATTTGGCCTGATGGTCAAACATAGTCTGTTCATTATGTTTCTGAGGTTTCAATGTGTGGACTTAAGTCTTTCAAAAGTTATTATGTTGTAAATGTATAGAGTTGTAATTGGACAGATTAAGTGAACTGCAACATAGTGCCGAGACACCTGACAATAGATAATGCCTATTCATGGTGGACCCGGAGTCTTTTTGTTCCCCCTTACATAACACTGCTTGTCACCTAGCTTGTTTTGTATACATCTGGGCAATTATTTGTAACCACATTATGAAGTTGCTTTATACTTAATTCCCATACTGTTTTCTTTCTCACAGGAGGTTCAAAGTATTTTTACTATGACTTGCTCTTTCATTTCCAGTAGCCATCCTGATGATAATTAATGGAAGCAATTCATAAATACCAGCCAGAAAGTGGTATAAAAATAAAGAAAGGCAGGAGACACACAGTAAAGACACCAACATAGAATAACGAAAAATAGAAAGAATGAGAGAGAGACAGAGAGGGAAAAGAAGGGGGAGAATTATGATAGCTGTAAGCAAAATGATGATATCAAGAGTGTGAATGTGTGTTCACAATAAGAACTTGATTTCAAAACTCTTATGGGAGAATAAATTTGGAAGCACAGAAATGAAAACAAAATTATTTAGGGAATGTCACAACTCTTTCTCATCCTGTATCACAAGTTTAAAAATGCAACAACTCTCTCTCATCCTTTATCACAAGTTTGAAAATGCAACAACTCTTTCTCATCCTGTATCACAAATTTAAAATGCAACAACTCTTTCTCATCCTTTATCACAAGTTTAAAAATGCAACAACTCTTTCTCATCCTTTATCACAAGTTTGAAAATGCAACAACTCTTTCTCATCCTTTATCACAAGTTTGAAAATGCAACAACTCTTTCTCATCCTGTATCACAAGTTTAAAATGCAACAACTCTTTCTCATCCTTTATCACAAGTTTAAAAATGCAACAACTCTCTCTCATCCTTTATCACAAGTTTGAAAATGCAACAACTCTTTCTCATCCTGTATCACAAATTTAAAATGCAACAACTCTTTCTCATCCTTTATCACAAGTTTAAAAATGCAACAACTCTTTCTCATCCTTTATCACAAGTTTGAAAATGCAACAACTCTTTCTCATCCTTTATCACAAGTTTGAAAATGCAACAACTCTTTCTCATCCTGTATCACAAGTTTAAAATGCAACAACTCTTTCTCATCCTTTATCACAAGTTTAAAAATGCAACAACTCTTTCTCATCCTGTATCACAAGTTTAAAATGCAACAACTCTTTCTCATCCTTTATCACAAGTTTGAAAATGCAACAACTCAAGCTACTCGAAGTCGTTAACGGAGAATATAAGACGAACGCAAATCTGGAACTCGGATGTGAAAGCGGATACAAACAAATGGCGCGCCGCACTGATTGCTATAACGGACCAATCACAGCCCGCGTAGCACGACCCGTTAGCAACGACCGACCATTTCCGGACTACGATAATTTCGCTCGGGAAAAGTGATCAAATTTTGGAAGAGACCGAAGGCTGTGCGAAAAAAACTGGTCTAGAAAAACCGTTTAAAACACATCTTCTACTATGTTTTAGACTTCCAAATTTTGATACTAGGTACAGAAAAGACCACTCTTTCAGAAAATGCAAAAAAACTAAAATCTATTTTTTTTCACCTAAATTGACATTTTAACTGATTACGGAGAATCGCTGGTTGCGACTTTTTGTTGGTTTTGTGGTGCCGGGTCACATATTTAAGGTACAAACTGGAAATTTATTCTGAAATGTTCATTGATTTTTCTATTTTATGTGTTTGCAATGTCGTGTGTGTGTCACCTAAGGCTAAGTGTGAAGTCAGAGCTACCAAGTATCACGCATTAGGCGTGACATCACGCATTTCGAGGGTCTGAAAATGTACCCTCGCACGCGCGCTTGTGCGCCGAATCATGAAAAGGTCACGCATTGCCGATCTTTGAACTTGGCGTCTCTGCCTCTGGTGAAATGCGTCACCTGTTTAAAGCAGGACGTGTCAAAATATCTGTGGTGTGACGTAATATTACGTATTGACTTTGCCATTGAACTTAAGATGCGCGTAAGTAAAGTAGTAGTTCCTCTCGCACTTAAATTCAAAGCCACTCGAGCGGACCGGCGCCGGCCAATGATCGAGAGCGTGTAAACTCGTTGTAGACAGCGCTAGATGCACAAAGTTCTTCAAGTTCAGCAAGAGATATCATCAGAGACTAGAGTCTAGAGAGCTCGATTCAAAACTTTTACGTTATGTTATGAAAAGGCTTTTGACGAGTACCAGCATAGACATAGACATAGACATAGATTAGATACACAAATCAGTACATGGTACAATGCATTTTCTACGACGTGCCGCATCCACTTGAGATCGCACTCGCTCAACAATTGGATAGAGATTTAAATACTCACCATAATATCTGGATAAGATACCATTACTCTCAGATCGAAGTAAACAGGAGATTGAATCCCACTTTTAAGAGTAAAGGATCCAAACTTCACGGCATTCACATCGAACAAGCGTAGAATAAGGCCTTCGGAATCCATTTTTCCCGCGGTTGACTCAGCTCTCTTCGTTCCTGGTGATCGTACACGTTAAATTTAAAACGGATATGAAATTCTGGACAACATATTTAGGTATCCGCTGTATATTCGAGTTCGAGAATCATCAGCGTTTTAAAAATGGAGTACACGGACTCTCTTTTGGCTAACTTGGGCTTTTATTTAATCTCCATTGGCAATCATTTATCATAGGCTTATATATTGACAGTCACTTGAATTAAGCCCAGTGGCGGATCTAAGGGGGGCAGGGAGGGGGGGGGGGGGCTCCCCTGGCCTCAATTAAAAACAGGTAATTTTTACCTATTTTTCCCTTCCCTTTTCTGCCCCCAGAAGTTTGAAAATCGAGCCGACAGATATTTTGCTCAGTGGAGGGGGGAGTGAACACACTTTTTTCCCCCTCAACACCCACCCCTTGAACCAAAGAAATCAAGCCATGTTTTACTCTTTTTTTCATTTCGGCCAGGGGGGATCGAGGGCCCATTTCCATTTTTAAGGGTAAACTTAACGTGACTATCTTTTTAAAATCTGCCCCCCCCCCCCCGTGGATCCGCCCCTGGTAGAAGACGTAGGATGGTAATAGGGTAGGATAATAGTAGACGTAGGATGGTAGTAGAGGCAGTGGCGGATCCCTCCTCCCCCTTGGGAAAAAAGGTGAAAACAAAACGTAGATTTTTACGTAGATTTTTACCTTTTTGGGGAGATGGACCCCCCCCCCCCTCCTGGCGCTCAAGGGGGGTGCCATTTTGTACGCACTACCCACCCCACCCCCTCCCCCTCCCCCCCCCCCCTAATGAGCGAATTTTCGGCCGGCGCAATTTTCAAATTTTCGGGATCAAACAAAAAAAATTCCCCCCCCCCCCCTAAAAAAATCCTTGATCCGCGCCTGGGTCCAGTGGCGGAGCCCCTGGAAGCTTCGGGGGTTTTAGGCATTTAATTACGGTCAGATGAATACATTTTGAAACCTTATTTGTCACACTTATTGTCACACTAGGTGGCATGGTTGTCGATCCGGGGGGGGGGGGGGTGGGGGGATATACCCCCCCCCCCCAATAATTCACCATCAACAACAACAACAACAAATTAATGATAAGCCCGATGAGAATAGTTATTACTCACAACATGACCATCAATATACACCTTTTGCTATCTCATTTTCATAATACATACGTAAATGAGACAACCGTATATGAGACGAGAATAAATTAAATTCTCGCTCATAAGTTGCTTCATCAGGAATTGATGAATTTATTCAATTTATTCAATCACCAGCATCCTAGAAATGCAGTGCGCCAAATGCAAAGCCGCAGCGTTAACAACTAATGAACTAAATGTTAAGCGCGAAGTGCAAAAGTGCTCAAAGAAGTAGAGCGTGTGCGAGAGAGATAATGAGAGACAGAAAGGATACAGGCGCGTAGCCAGGAGAGGGGGCGATGGGGGCGGTCGCCCCCCCTAAAAAAAAGAGAGACAAAGAAGAAAGGAAGAGGACGTAGGAAGAAAAAGGATTGAGAGTCGAGAACGGTATAACGAATCGTCTTCTTTCTCTAATAATTTAATGAACTGTCAAAGCTTCCGCGCTTCGTGCGGGAGGGGGGTGGGGATGGGGGAACTGAATTCAGACAAGGATTAAAAGTCGAGAATGGTACAACGAATCGTCAGAGCTTCCGCGCTACGCGCGGAGGAAGGGGAGCTTGATTCAAACAAGGATTAAGAGTCGAGAACGGTACAACGAATCGTCTTCTTTATAATATTTTAATGAAAGATCAAAGCTTCCGCGCTTCGCGCGGGTCGGGGGGAAACGCCCCCTCCCTGCACCCAGGGTGTTAGGCAGTTAGAGTTGGTTCGAGCATATCCTGTGATCTGGGAGCTACATGCGGAGTCCCCCAGGGCACAAAATTAGGTCCCGTGATTTTTCTTGTCATGATTAATGATGCGCTGAGTGAATTCAACCACAGGTGGAAATATGTGGATGACCTCAGTGTAGTAGAAATCCGCCGAGCGAATGAACCCTCTACTGTCCAACTTCAACTTGATAGTCTTGTCCAGTGGTGTGAGTCGAACGACATGAAGCCCAACCCTACTAAATGTTGCGTCATGAATATCTCGTTCGTAAAGCAAGTGCAGTTTCCTAAGCTTCAAGTCGCTGATACCAGCTTATCCGTGGTCGACCACCTCACGCTACTTGGTGTCCATCTTCAAGCCGACTTAAAGTGGGACACCAATGTTTCAGCGATGGTTTCGAAGGCTAGCAGACGTCTCTACATTGTATATCGCCTCAGAAAATGTAGACTTCCGACCTCTGATTTGGTTGCTATTTATGCTATGTACATCAGACCTGTACTTGAATACGCATCACCTGTCTGGTCCTCGTCACTGACCACTGCTCAATCCAATGACATATTGAACGTGTGCAGAAAAGGGTCTGTCGAGTCATCCTTGGTGGGTATGACTCCTACCGCGGTGCTTTGGATCACCTCCGTCTTGATTCTCTCCACTCACGACGAGAAGGTCTTCTCCTCTCCTTTGCACGTGACCTTCTCACGTCAGCTCGCCATCGTGACTTTCTTCCAAAGTCCCGACGATCACTGTCTGGAAGGCAGTTACGGAACTCACATCTTCTCCATGAACCAAAATGCAGGACCACAAGATATTACAATTCTAGTATCCCATCAATTGTTCGTTTACTAAATAAGAATCCCGACCTCATCATATAGGTCTAGCTATTTAATCCTGAACCTCTATCTGAATTTGTATCTAGTTTTATGAATATAGTTTTGATAAATATGATTTTAATAAATAGAACTTTGATAAAATGCATTTTTTAAGAATTTGATTTTGTGAAAAGAAATGTAATTTTTAGAGATATAATTTAGTTAAATGCAATTTTGATCCGATAAATTATTATAAAATGCAACTAAATTATAATATTATCTATGCAACTCAAAAGAACAATGTATATTATCTGACTTTTTAAATTCAACTTTGATAAATGCAAGTTGATCAATGTAATAATTATTAATGTTATTTCAATAAATTTAATTTAATAAATGTAATTTTATGTTTTCAAGCCGGGTTTTACATCACGTATTCATGAAGCTCATACATAACAATATTTAATAATTGTATTTTTATTTATGTAAATATTACAGTTTAATAATTTAATTTCAATTTTTTAATGATCAATAATAATTTTTTTCTCAATACATTATCAAAATGTCCTGCTCCGACTCTCAATCTGTATACCTGATCTTACACCCTTTGAATTTCTATTTATTTCATATCCAAGTATGCAAACCGAACTCAATATTATTATTGTTTTCATTATTTATGATTTATTTACTATGTACTGTTTATATCTGGATTCATTTAAAAGTGTTAAAGCATATAATTATATTTTTATGTCTATGGAATTATTTTTACCTTGTAAATTCACTTGTATCAGCCTCCAGCTGTATTGTTGAATATTCGAATAAAACCTTATCAAATCAAATCAAATCAAACCCCCTAGTGATTCGCGTGCACACTACCGCCCCCCTAAAATAAAATCCTTGCTACGCGCTTGAGAGAATAACCCAGGTAGCAAGCCCATATGGGTCCCATTTTCTCTGAAATGTTAACTTTATTGAGGGTGACTTAAAAAAAATAATAACTTGGAAGGGAGGGGGTGCAACCTGCCACACGCTACTACCTCTTGGTTGCTTTGATCCATTTCCGAAAATATTTTGGCACCTATCATCTCCCCCCCCCCCCCCAACCACGAATACAAATCGACCCCAGAAGCTCAGGGGTTTCTGGCATGACGAGAGCCATTCCGAGAGCCATGACGAAAGAGCGATGACGAAAGAGCCATGACGAGAGAGCCATGACGAGAGAGCCATTACGAGAGCCATGACGAGAGAGACATGACGAGAGAAACATGACGAGAGAGCCATTACGAGAGCCATGACGAGAGAGCCATTACGAGAGAGACATGACGAGAAAGCCATTACGAGAGAGACATGACGAGAGATACATGACGAGAGAAACAGGACGAGAGAGCCATTACGAGAGACACATGACGAGAGAGCCAAAACGAGAGAGACATGACGAGACACACATGACGAGAGAGCCATTACGAGAGCCATGACGAGATAGCCACTACGAAAGAGACATGACGAGAGATACATGACGAGAGAGCCAAAACGAGAGAGCCTTTACGAGAAATCCATAATTACGAGAGAGACATGACGAGAGCCATGGCGAGAGGGAGAGCCATTACGAGAGAAACATGACGAGAAAGCCATTACGAGAGAGACATGACGAGAGCCATGACGAGGGAGACATGACGAGATAAACATGACGAGAGAGCCATTACGAGAGCCATTACGAGAGAGCCATTACGAGAGAGACATGACGAGAGCCATTACGAGAGCCATGACGAGAGAGACATGACGAGAGAAGCATTACGAGAAAGCCATTACGAGAGACACATGACGAGAAAGCCATTACGAGAGAGACATGACGAGACACACATGACGAGAGAGCCATTACAAGAGCCATGACGAGATAGCCATTACGAGAGAGACATGACGAGAGATACATGACGAGAGAGCCAAAACGTATGGGCGGCCAAACGGGCCAATATCAACAGTCACAAAAACAAACAAAGATGCATACAAACAAACAAAGAAGCATACAAACAAACAAAGGACAGAGCAAAATAGACAAAGTACCCAGAAGAAAGGACCAATTAACAAAGAATAAATCAAAGGTCAGAGCAAAATAGACAAAGTACAGGTCAGAAGAAACAGAGGGCGTTTTGGTTTACGGTAAGCAAATAGACATCAAGCACGAAAACGAGAAAGGACAAACTCAAAAGGACATCAGCTCAGCTACGAAGTGACCCTCAAAGGACAACAGAGGGCGTTTTGGTTTACGGTAAGCAAATAGACATCAAGCACGAAAACGAGAAAGGACAAACTCAAAAGGACATCAGCTCAGCTACGAAGTGACCCTCAAAGGACAACAGAGGGCGTTTTGGTTTACGGTAAGCAAATAG